CCTTCCACGTGTTGCTAAAACCTCTACTGGATCGATTGCTAGCCCTCTCTATTCTTCATGACATGTCGTTCCCACCACCACATTATCGCCATTTCCCTTGACTAGTTGCTGCCACCATTGGTGCCACCTCATGAACCCCGACCAAGCACTCCCCTAATCTTGACATTAACTCATTACGCCGGTGCCAAGATCCCCCTAAGTTTCATTCAACCTCCGATGCCTTCATTTTCCTCCTAGATACCTTAATAAAGTTAATTAGTTGCTCTAAAAACACACCATGAGGGCTTAGGGAACTACAATCTCTTCCTTACTTTCTTTTCAGAAGACTTCGGAGGGCCTTCTGCAGTGTCACACCTACTCACCCCATCAACGATCCCCTCTTTCTCCTTTGTGTCACACCGGCCACATGCCACATTGCTAAATCTGATGCACTTGCACACACTAGCTAACAACGCCCCATTGCAGCAATCCTTGCAGCTTACGGAATGAGATTAGATGACAAAGTGTATTTATTATCTTGATGTCATTGAGAGTGATGTGGCACCTTTTGTGCATGAATTTCACACAACGATGATGCGAGTGTACCCACATCGGCCTATGGTCTTCGGACCACTCTTTGCCCCCTTTCACTTCCATACTGATCTTCCTTGGCCGGACCACTCATTTCATTCTCAAGCTCCGTGAGAAGAGATAAACCAATTCAAGATGTTTCGAATTTAGCCTTTACGTCATGTTCGTGCTTTAGGTTAGTTCGTACTCCGTAAGCCGCAAGTGCGAGTTTAGTCATGGTCTTATCAACGTGAACGATTACCTTTCCGCCAAACCAGAACGAGAGCCAAGAGGGGCGATCATATTGTCCTTATTTCTCTACGCTACAACATTTTCGGCGTTATAGTTTGACTATCTCGATCTATTCTAAGTAGCACCCGAAAAAGCACGCGCTAAGTGGATATGTACCAAAGCTATATCTCCATAACCAGAGTTGACTACTCATTGGTAGTGAAAAATAAACAAGATAGACATGTTTACTAACACAACAAATACCCAACAGTTGGTTGCCACAAGACATTTTCACATTTTAACATATTGAGAGAATGAAAGATAGGAGTGGTTTATACCCTAAAGTCGGAAGGAAAAGCTTAACATGATAGATCAATGTGTTCCACTCTTGCTAGACAGACGTGGCTTAGATCACGAGTTTGAGACGCGCCCGGGATGGGGGCATTTTGGTTGGGATTTCAAAACAAACACCCAGGACAAAAAAAGACTCATGTGCCCTCAAGAGCATCTTCTTTCACTTGCATTTATTTCTGAAGTTGCCTCAGTAACTATCCAAGACTGCCTTGATCTTTCCATTTATTACTCAAGTGCGCTGAGGCAACTCTGAACTAAGCGTAGGGTATGTCTAGTAATTATGCTTCAAACCGTCCGGCGCCTTGAAGAATGATGGCACTATATCAAGGAAACATGAGCGACCAATGAGGATAGGAAAATGGGGGAAATATGTAGTAGAGAATCCTCCCTTCTTCTTTGCTTTCTTGCCTAAACCTTAAAACTCCAAAAGTAACCATTGGAACCTCATGGAAGCCGAGTTAAGAGATTCATTTTATTTATTACTTTGACTAAGTTATTCTAAAATATCAGAGCTAACAGACCATCTGATTGAATGTTTGAGACTCTCATAAGTATGGAAATAAAGTCTCTCCAGTCCTTTCCACAACTTATAAATTTCCTATCAACCTATCAAACCTAATTCCAGACAGAGTGAGTAGACCTTACTTTAATGTACGCGGTGTAAGATAATTAGAAACTCTTGATAGTATTTGGTATAATATCTTGTTCATTCCTAGGAGCAAAAAAGGAATGTCCTTTAGGGGCATTTAGATACCAAGATTTTTGACATCTTGCTTTCATAGTTATGAATTGCATAATAGAAACAATTAGAAAATTGATTAGTAAGTCTTCCCTCATCCCTATTTGTATCATTTTGGGCCACTAGGCCACTACCCAGAACCATGTGAGAGCCGTATTTTTAAAAATAAATTGTCAGACTATGTTAGAACTATGGATTCTTTAGATCTAGTATTGGTACGCCTGGTTATTTTCCTTTGCTTATGCATGGCAAAGATTTGTCGAGTTCAATCACTACGACAAGAAATACTAAGTATATTTTGGTCAGGCAAAACCTAGATTTGAGATGCCACCCTACCTTACCGCTTGGCCATGTTGCCAAATCAGATCAAAAATCAAGCAAAATCCTATTCCACTTATTTTACTAATTACCTAGTATTTGTGGGATGGGATTATTAAACCCTTTTTATTTTTTTTAGATCGCTGAATCCCTTTGTACTTATCCCTTCTAATAAACTCATTCCTATTATTTACTAGACCTACTTTTATTCTCTTCGACTGATTGCATCTCAAAACGCACATTGCTTAAGTACCTTGTCCGCAAAATGTATTGAACAATATAGTAGGAAAGCATGAATTGAGAATATAAGTCGCGTAGTTCAAATGGCGGGTGCGATTGCTCATATTATAGGTCTTGGTGAAATACTATCAGGTGAATTAGCCGAATTTGTATAGGTCAGTTATTGCTCAAAAATTGGAATCCAAAAATATTAGGACTTTATTAATGGGCGATGGGTTGATGATACAAGAGGGAAGCTTTGTAAAAGCAACGGGAAGAATTTCTCAGATACCCGTGAGTGAGGTTTACTTGGGTAGTGTTGTAATGCTTTGGATAAACCTATTGATGGAAAAGGCGAAGTTATAGCTTCCGAATCTACCTTGTTACATCTCTTGTTATCGTCATCTTGCTCATGTGATTGAGACTTCTTCTAGCTCCATGTTCCCACCGCCACATTGTCACCATTTACTCTGGCCAGTGATGCCACCCCATGCACCTTGCGGGTGATCACCTAAACCCCACATGAACTCATTACCTTTTGGTTTCGGTGGATGTCACCATCAACCCCATTA